ATTTTTTTTTTATTTATTTTTTTTTTTTTTTTTTTTTTTTTTGTTAATATTCTTTTTATAATGATTATTTTTTGTATTTATATAATTATTTTATATTCTATTTTGTTTTAATTTTATTTTAATGAATTTATCATTAAAATTTTATTTATATTGAATATATTTATTTATCTTTTATTGCAAAATTTTTAAAATTGTAAACATTAAATTTAATATATGCATTAACAAATTTTTGTAGTATCTACTTTTAAAAAGTAAAAATTAAAATTTTTGATATTTTTAAAAAGTATTTTGTTCTCTAAATTTGCATTATATTAAGGGATAAAAAAAGAAAAAAAAAATTAATAAGAATATATTAATAAAATAAAATGAAAAAAATTTAGTATCATTTTTACATTTAAAGGTATGACTTAATATAATTGATAAAAAAGAAAAAACTACGAAAATAATTTTGTAAAAAAAAAAAAAATTACTTTTATTTGAAAGTTAATATTTATTTAAATAATAGTTTTTTATATTTAATTTAAAATAGAATATTATTAGATATGAATTATTTATTTTCAGTTCATTATTAATATACAAAATATACACACATGAAAAGAAATTAAAAATAAAATTTTCCTTTTTTTTTCATATGTCTAAATTATATTTTTTGATTACATACTGATTCTTATTATTTGATAAATGACAAGCAATTTTTTATAATTCATACTTGTTTACAAGAATCTTTTTTTTTTTATTTTTTTGAATTTAATGGGAATATGGAAAACAATAATAATATAGAAAACATAAATTTAATTAAAGAGACAATGTTTGGACTTCCTAATAGTGTTATCTTAAAAACAATACATAATAATATAGATTTAAAAAATTATAGGGTTAAAAAAGAAGCTATTCAGACATTAAGTAAGTGCTTATCTATGTTTATTTTATATATAACTGACGGAGCATTGGAACATTGTGAAAATGAAAAAAGATCAACTATTTTTATTCGTGATATTTTGAATTCTTTAGATGATTCCCTTTTTCTTGAAATACATGATGAATTAAAAAAACAATTAACTATTCAAGAAGAAAAAGATATAATAAAAAATTCAAAAGAAGGTAATAATGTTGAAGAAAATAATAAAAACAGTGAACAAAATACACAAAATAATACAAGAGAACAAAATAAAGATGATTTTGATATACTGTTACAAGCATTAGAATGAAAACAAAAAAAAAAAAAAAAAAAAAAAAAAAAAATGAGCACGTGTATATTGGCTTTTAATTACCATTATACTTTTTAATTATTTTTTAAATTAATTTTTTTCTGTTTTTTATCGTTATTAAAAATATTAATTTTTTTAATGATATAATAACTATAAAATTATATTTGAAATATTTTAAAACTTGAATTATTTTTTAATATACTTTTCGTTAAAAAAAAACTCATTATTTGATAAAGACCTATAGAAAATTAAATGTTTTTTTTTTTAAAAATAAAAAAGTTATAGGAAATGATAAAAAAATGCTTTTGCTAATGCAGGATTTGTTCATATTAAATAGGAAAACAAAAATATTTATATAAGTATATTACATGAAGAGTTATATGTTGAAATTAAAATATGTTCATAGTATTAATATAACGTATGCCATTATCAAAATAGTATATATTTATGTGTGTAAATATTTAAAAATATATTTTTAAATATCTGTTGAAAAATTTACAGATATGTAAAAAAAAAATTTTACTATTATTACTATTAAAATTTTTTAAAAGTTTTATATGCGTATGATTAAAATAATAACATTTTCAAAATTATGTAAATTAAATTTATTTTTTTAAGCTAAATTTATATATTCATCATAACTTTTAATTGTGTAGAAAGATTTATTTTCTTTTCTTCTTGAAAATTTTCTATATAATGAATCAATGAATAAAGATGATAATTTCATATTTGTTATTAAAGGAACTTGAAAATCGGAAGCAAGTCTTCTTATTCTATATCCATTCGAACCAACTTTAGTATGTAATGCATCAGTTATATTAATAACCATTTCTACTTTATGATTCATAATTAAATCTGTTATATTTGGTAGTAAATTTTCGGAATTTTTATTATGTACTTTAATTAATCTTTGATGAAATTTAGATCCTTTTTTAATACTAAAAGATTCTAAAAACTTTGAATAAAAATCATAAGTTCCTTCTGTTGCATAAATAGTAAATCCCATTAAAAATAATAACTGAAATGGTTCTTCAAAAGCTAATTTATTATTTAAATTTTTAATACTTATCAAAATGGATTTCTTTGGTAATTTCATACCTGTAGCTATTAAAGATTTCAACAAAGCTTCATATTTATTTAAACCAAAGCATGCTACTTCTCCTGTTGATTTCATTTCAACACCTAAAATACAATCAGAACCATGTAATCTATTAAATGAAAATATGGGAGATTTAATAGCAGTGTATTCCAAATCTATTAGAGAGATATTAATTGGTTTCACATCATATCCTATTAGTATTCTTGTTGATAAATCAATAAAATTTAAATTTAACGCCTTTGATATAAAAGGAAATGTTCTTGAAGCTCTTAAATTACATTCTATTATTTTGATTTCATTTTGATGACATATAAATTGTATGTTAAATGGACCTGATATATTTAATGATTTTGATATTTTTTCAGATATTTTTTTAATTTTTCTATGAGTTTCTACATATATATTTTGTGCTGGTAATATTAATGTAGCATCTCCTGAATGTACTCCTGCATTTTCTACATGTTCTGATATAGCATAATTAATAATTTTTCCATTTTTACTAACACAATCAATTTCTATTTCTTTAGCATTTTCAATAAATTTTGAAATAACAACTGGATTATCTTTACTTACAATTGCTGCTTTCATTAAAAAATTTTTCAATTCTTCAAAACAATTTACAACTCTCATAGCTGCACCAGATAATACATAAGATGGTCTTACTAATACAGGGAATTTTACTTCATTAGCAAATTGAATTGCTTTAGATAATTTTGTGAATTTATTCCATTTTGGTTGATCAATTTTCAAGGAGTCACATAAATGAGAAAACTTATTTCTATTTTCACAACAATCTACACTTTTTGCACTTGATCCTAGTATTTTCACATTATTTTTATATAAACTAAAAACTAAATTATTGGACGTTTGACCACCAAATGCTATTATAACACCATGACTATTTTCAAAATTATAAATAAATTTGATAACTTCTGTTGTTATTTCATCAAAATATAACCTATCACTTTCATCATAATCAGTGCTTACTGTTTCTGGATTACAATTTATTAATATAGCTTTGTGATTTAATTTTCTTATAGTTTTTACACAATGTATGGCACTCCAATCAAATTCAACTGAACTTCCAATTCTGTAACACCCACATCCTAATACAATAAAACATTTTTTTATTTTTTTTTCTTTTTCATCTCTATTATCAATTATTTTAAAACCAATACCATTATATTTTTCATTAAATATATTTTCATTTTCTGAAAATACAGACAAATTCTCAGAAACTTCTGATGATAACGAATTATTCTCTTCTTCGTAATCATCATAGGAATTATTATCAGATGTATATGAATACGATTCATAATCATCTTCATTGTCTTCCTCACTTGATTTAGTAAAATTATGCATAGATATTTCAGAATCAAATTCATTTTTATCTTCATCTCTATCACTAATGTTTCCTCTTATTTTATTTTTATTTTTTTTTTTTTTTTCAATTTCCCATTTTTCATTATATGCATTATTATTATTACTCAAGGATAAATTATTTTTATCTTCCTTATTATTCAATAGATTACGTTTATGTAATGTATTATTGCTCATATTTTCATTGTTTATCAATTCTTTCATTTTATTTATTTTATATTCATTGTTATAAACTGAATCAACAATATAATAAGAGTTACTAGAACTTTTGTTAGAAATATTTTGTTCTAATAAATAGGTATCCATGTTTTTATTTGCTATTTCTTCTTCTGAAGTATTAAAATTATCTAAAAATAATTGATCATTTGTAGAATGAGATGTACCATTAGATAAATTATCATCAATATTATTAAGTGAATCTCTATTTTTTGTTTTTTTACAAATTTTGTTCGTGTTAATTATTTTTGTTTCCTTTTTATAATTACTGTTCCCTGTATTACTAGTGATTATGTTGTTTCTGTCATTATTTTGTTGTAAATTATAACTATTACTGTTTTTTGGAATGTTATCTTTTTTTAAAAATTCCTTTTTAATTAAAGTTTCGTAATTCGTACCATCATAAATCTCTTTTTTATCATTTCCTAAGTTATTAATACTAATGTTTGAAATTATATTTTCGTTATTGCTTGATAAATTATTTAAAGAATTTTGTCCACTTACTATATTTGTTTCTTCAGATGCTATACTCTTTTCTTCTTTTTCATATTTATTGAACATTTTATGAGAAGATTCTACAATATTAGAATGGTTCTGTTCTTGAATAAAAGGAACATTGTTATGTTTCTCTATTGTTAAATTATTACTTAAAATATTATTATGTGAATCAATATTTACATTATATGTTAAATTATTTATGTCATCATGTGAATGATTATTATATGATGCCTCTTTATGTTTCCCTCTCTCTTCATCATTTTCTTCTTCAGAGCTTAACATATTTCTTTTTTTTTCCTTTTTCTTATTTATTAACACTTTCTTCTTTCTCATATTTAAGGGAAGAACGTCATGCTCCATTCCTTGATATGTTAAATAAAGATAATTAGTTGATGCAGGAAATTCAGCTGAAAGGGTATCAATGACTTTAATATGAGGATATAAACCAATATTTTCTCTATATCTCATTACATCGTTTTCGGTTACCTTTGAATTGTAAGATAAATAAAAAGCAATTTGCTTATCACTAAATCCATGTTTCTTGAAATATTTTAAATCATAAAAAGATAATTGATTCAAAGTTAAAGTTTTTAATTTATTCTGTAAACTATAAATATTATAAAATTTATATAAAAACCAATAATCAATATGAGTTAATTCATGAATTTTTTCCATTGGTATATTTAAATGAAACGCTTGATGAATAGCATCTATTCTTTTGGGGGAAGGATTTTTTAATTCATCTATAATTTTTTTCTCGTCCCAATCAATGCAGTAAGTATTACTAAAACCTAAATAATTATCATCAATGCATCTCAATGATTTTTGAATAGACTCCTCAAAGGTTCTACCAATTGACATAACTTCTCCTACACTTTTCATACTACTATTCATTGTATTTGATGCAAATTCAAATTTATTTAAATCCCATCTTGGTATTTTAGTCGTAATGTAATCTAAAGATGGTTCAAAGCATGCAGTTGTTTTTTTTGTTATGCTATTTTTTAAACTAATTAAATCATAACCTAAAGCAAGTTTTGCAGATATATATGCCAAAGGATATCCAGTTGCTTTTGAAGCAAGAGCAGAACTTCTGCTTAATCTTGCATTCACTTCAATAATGCAATACTCTCCTGTTTTAGGATTAATACCAAATTGAATGTTACATTCACCTATTATATTTAAATGTGCGATAACCTTAAGGGCTATTTCTCTAAACTTATAATATTCATAATTACTTAAAGTTTGAGAAGGTGCTACAACTACACTATCCCCTGTGTGAATACCTAAGGGATCTATATTTTCCATATTACATATAGCTATACAATTGTTTTTATTATCTCTTAATAATTCATATTCTATTTCTTTCCATCCTTTTAGAGATTTATCAATAAATATTTCATTATCTGTTTGTAAAAATATTTCTTTACATTTATGTATTAATTCCTCTTCATTATTTATGAAGCTACTATTTAATCCACCTAAGGAAAATGTTGTTCGTACTAAAATAGGATATCCAATTCTATTCGCGACTTCAATTGCTTCTTCTAAATTTTTTGCACTTCCATAAGGAGCTATAACCTCATTAATTTCTTTCAATTTTTCAGCAAACATACTTCTATTTTCTGTTATTAATATAGATTCTAGAGATGTACCTAATGATAAACAATTATTTTTTTTTAAAACTTTTTTTTGTTCTAACATTAAAGCACAATTTAAAGCAGTTTGTCCACCAAAGGTGCATAAAATAAAATCAGGTTTTTCTTTTTTTATAATTTTTTCTACAAATTCACAATTCACTGGTAAAAAATATACTTTATCTGCCAATCCTTTAGAAGTTTGTACTGTTGCAATATTGGGGTTAACTAATATTACATAAATACCACATTCCTTCAAACTTTTAATTGCCTGAGTTCCTGAATAATCAAATTCTCCTGCTTGTCCTATACATAATCCACCACTACCAAGAAGTAGAACTTTTTTTTTAATATAAATTAAGTTATATCCAATATTTTCACGGAAATTCTTTTTTTTATTAAATATATCTAAAAGAAAATTTTTAAACAAAAATGATGTATCTTCAGGGCCATTGTTACCCTCAGGATGATATTGAACACTATAAAATCTTCCGTTTTTATGTGTTATACCTTCTATTGTTTTATCATTTGCATTTATAAAACTAATAGCTAATTCTTTTTTTTTTAGTATACTTTTCTTTTTTAAACAATAACCATGATTCTGAGATGTAATATAGCATTTATTATCTACTAAATGAATAACTGGTTGATTTACTCCTCTGTTGCCATATTTCATTTTATAAGTTTCACATCCCAATGAAATACCTAATAATTGATTACCTAAGCATATACCAAATATAATTTTATTTTTTTGTAAGCTTTTTTTTAATATTTCAATTAAAAAATCGCATTTTTTTGGATCTCCTGGTCCATTGGATAATAAAACTGCATCATAATCAATTGCATTATAATCATAATAATATGGTACAATAATATAAGTGATAGGAAGATCCTTCCCTTTTTTCATTAAATTTTTTATTATACTATTTTTAATACCACAATCAACAATGACGATTATTTTTTCTGTATTATAATTTCTCTTATTTACTAAATTTAAAAATTCTTCATTATTCATTTTTTTTTTAATATATGAAGAATAATCATTATTTAAATTGAAATTTTTATTAGAATTATCTTTATCTTTTTGCATACAATTTTGTTCTTTATTAATATAGCTACCTCCATTTAACATTCTATCATTGGTATTATTCTCTTTTAAATGTTTTTTATTTAGGACACTATTTATACTTTTTTCAACATCATAATAACCATATTCATCTACATTTTGATTATGAATCAAAGAATTGTCCTCTAAATCAATTAAATATTTATTATACTCACAAGAACTATACAAATTAAAAAATAAATCATGTTCTTCACTATTTGTATTATTACTATTAAAAGGATTACTATCTTTAAAATTTTCATCTGAAGATGTTAATATGTTCATCTTGTCTCTTAACAAAGAATAATGATCTATATTTTTATCATCACTTTTTTCCATATTTGAAGTGCTTTGATAATTATAAAAACTTGTTGCATTATTTTCATTTTCTTGTTCATCATGAAGAGATTCATCAATATCATTTATTGTTTTGAGATCATCCTTAGTTTTATAATTACAAAAAACATTTTTTAATTTGAATACTCTAATATAATGATTACATACATATTTAATGGTATCAATTTGACCTGGATCAAATAAACTTATTTCTCTATACAATTTATTCATATTATTTTTGTTTTTATAAATTATTATTTTTCCTAACATGCTTCCTTTTTCTCTTAATCTTTTTGTTAAAGCTCTTGTATCTATTCCACCTATACATGGTATTTTGTAAATTTTCAACCATTCACTTAGAGTAATAACAGAATTATAATGAGATGATTTTTTTGTATATTCACAAATTACTAATCCCTGAATTTGAATTTTATTGCTTTCAAAATTTTTAACTAAACCAAAATTATCATAATTAACTTTTTCAACTCCATAGTTACCTATTGATGGAAATGTCAGAATCAAAATTTGACCAAAATAACTCGGATCTGTTAATGCTTCCGTATATCCAACCATGGCAGTGTTGAATATTACTTCTCCTGTTACGATATAATCTTCATTTTCAATTTTACTATTTTTAAATAACAAATCATCTTTCAAATTATTATTTTTTTTCAACTCTTCCTTCAAATTATCATTTTTTAAATATGAATTTTTTTCTGAATTGTTTTTTTCATCAGATCCTTCATAACCTATACTATAACCTACATATTCGCTATTATCTTCAAGAATCAACTTACCTACTGTTTTATAATCTAAAATGTTTAAAATTCAAAAAAAAAAAGAAAAAATTAATAACATATTTATTTATATTAAAAAAATATCTTATAAATATTTTTCATATTTAAGTTATATAATTGTAAATTTTTGTTTTTAAAATATACCAAAATCTGGCCAAAATTCAGATTCCATTATTCATATAAATTAAATATTTATATATAAAATTATAAAAATTAAAGTTCTAAATTAAAAAATTCGTTTATAGAATTAGATTACTGAAAAATTAATTTGATGTATACATATTTTTAAATAATCAAATTTGTGAACAAATTAAGTTAATAAGGGAAGAAAGAAAAAAAAAAAAAAAAAAGATACAAATATAATAAATAAATATTTAATATTTTTTAATGCATTAAAATTTCAAATAAAATATATTTTTATATGCATTTATATATGTAGGATTGCTAAATAATTTTAAAAGAAAAAAAATTTCATACAAATATATTTTCATATAAAGCAGAATTAAAAATTATTATATAATATAATAATAAAATTTTACTTTATAATTTGTTCTCTTTTTTCTTTTTTTTTTTTTTTTTGATTTGACCTTATTAGATTTTTTTTTTTTTTTATTTTATATGTTTTAATTTTCTTTTAAATTTTTTTTCTCGTTTATTTTAATTTTTTAATTCATCTCAAAATATTTTGGCTCACAGAAATTTAAATTTATTTGTTTTTATTTATGAGTTGTATTTTTCAACAAATATTTTAATTCATGCTATAATTAAAATGTATTTATATATATATATATATATATAAGGAATTTATTCTTTTTTAAAAATAAAAAATTCCCAAATTTAAATTAATACATTTATTTTTTATTATTAATATACTTTAAAATATTTATAAATACTTTAAGCTATTAATTACATTTTTTTTTTTCTTTTTTTTTTTTTTTTTTTTTGTTATAACTAAAAAAAACTTACGGCATATTTCCGTTGGCTAAAACCTTTTTTTCAGTGATTTTTACATTATTCTATTTTTTTTAATATTATTTTAAATTAAAAAAAAAAAAAATTTATCTATTATAAATAAATACTAAGACATAATAATACTCAATAATGAAATAAAAGGGGATTAAATGTCTAATAAATAAGTTTCTCCTTTTAAGAACCTTAAAATATATTACATAACTTTTATATTTTCTTTTAATTTCGGAAAAATTTTTAAAATACAACACCATTAATGAATATATAAAACATGAAAATATGTATTACATCCTAAAAAAAAAAAAATCTCATAAATCCTTAAGTATTATTTTTATATTATTTAAAAAAAAAAAAAAAAAAAGGAATGAAAAATAAATAAAGTTATTCTTTAAATTTAAAACTAATTTACAATATATAGTTTTACAAAAAAAAGAATATAAATTCAATTATTTAATAAAGTTTTAAAAAGAGTTTTTTAAATGATGAACAAATTTCAAATTAAAAATATCCTTTTTTTTTTTTTTTAATAAAAGGAAAAATAAAAACTATTAAAAAAGTGATTTTTATTTTAAAAAAAAAAAAAAAAAGATATAATATTAATTTATTTTGAATTATTTAAATAGATATATTTTACATTATTTCCTAATTAAGAAAATATTTTAAGTTATAATTTTCACCCCTTTAAATGCTAAAAAAATATATATATATATATATATATATATATAAATATAATATTTCAAAAAGTTTATATAAACTTTTTTCTTATGAAATGTAAGATACATCATTTATGAATTGTTTTTTTATTTTTTTAATAAAGGAAAAAATAATTTAAATTTAAAAAAAAAACATAAATAAAAATTAATCATAAAAAAAGGGTTGCATATATATTTTATTTTATTTTATTTTTTTTTTTTTTTTCATACAATGCAATTTAGAAAAGCAAAAGATTTGAGATAGAAAAAAAAAAAAAAAAAAACATTTTTTTCAATTTAAAATATTAAATTTGTAAATACATTAAGGCGTTTATACTTGAAAAAAAAAAAAAAAATAAAATAAAATAAAAGAAATATGAAACAAAAATATAAAAAATTAATGATGAAAAATTTATAGGAAAAAAATATATTCCATTTTATGTTTTTATATTTAAACATTATTTTCCTAACATATAAAATTTCATTGTGACTTGATTTTGTTTTTTTATTTTTACATTTAAAAATATATATATATATATATATATATATATATATATAATATATTTCATTATTTAACAAAATTTTTTTTTATAAAAAATTGAAAACCATTTCATTTATATATTTATAATAATTTTTATATAATTCAAAATGAATGTCGATTTGTTAAATCCGGATCCAGTTGAAGAATCAAAAAAACATAAGTTAAAAAGATTAATACCAAGTCCTAATTCTTATTTTATGGACGTAAAATGCCCAGGATGTCTTCAAATTACAACATTATTTAGTCATGCGCAAAATGTAGTTTTATGTGGAAGGTAAAAGGAAAAATATATTTATGTATTTTTATTTGTGTATACTTTTTGGTATTTATTTTTTTTATATTTATGTATAAAGTATTTTTATTAATTCATTATTTATTTATGAATATAATAATTTCTTTTACTTTTTTTTTAATATAGCTGTAATATTATGTTATGCCAACCAACTGGTGGAAAATGTAAATTAACTGAAGGTTGCTCCTTTAGAAAAAAAATTGAATAAAATTAAAATAAACTATTAATTATAAAGAAATTTTATATTCAATAAAAATTAAAAGGGATTTATATTTTGAGGAAATAAATTTTATTAAAATATTAAGAAGTGTTATTTACAAATTTTTAATTGTATTAATTAAAATATGAAATTTTATATAATATAGTTTTTTTTTTTTTTTTTTTTTTTTTTTATATATATATATATATATGTATCTTTTTATTTTTCATATATTTTAAAATTCAAATATTTACTAATGAAAAACAGAATAAAAATAAAAAAATTTGTATTATTTATTCTTTAAAAGAACAGCAAAATTATCATTATTTTAATTTTACGCTTTCTATTTGTTAGTATTTTTCTCATAATATTTTTTAGCTAAATAAAAAAATAAGATTTATTTGATATCTTCTAATAAAAAAGATTTATTCATAATGTAAATTTAAATGTAAGCATAAGTATTATATAAAATTTATCAGATTTTATAAATGAAGCATAAAGAATTAAAAAATTTTTCGTTAATATTTTAAAAATGTATTGGGAATTATCAAATTAACATATAGATAAAAAGAATACAACAAAAAATAAATACAAATTATTATCTTGAATTTAAAAATATTAGGACATACAATTTGTTTAGTATATATATAAAAACTATTTAAAAAAAAAAAAAAAAAAAAAAAGTATAATAAAATGATGTCAATAAAATTAATGCAACAAAACTTTGATGTCATATAATATACATTGAAAAGGAAATTAAAAAATTAAAAAAAAAAAAAAAAAAAAAAGGTAATATACAAAACTAAAACATAAAAGTATATGCATTTCTTAATGTTTAAAAATAAAATGATATAATATAAAGACATGATAAATTCTATGTATACATATTGCTACATAATTTTATGAACAATTTCTTATAATTACATAACTTTACTTTTTTCTCTATTTAATCTTCTTAAATCTCTTTCTCGAACAGAATTTTTAACTTCAGGAATAATTAAATCAGAAGTTTTTTTTTTTTTTAAATTGCTATTATCTGTTTTTTTTGACAAGGAATTTTTATGTGATAATAATGAATAAACCGAATTTAAAGCTTCATGTTTAGTTTTTATATTACTAAGTATATCAAAATCATCATATAAACATATATATTTTTCATTATTTAATCTTATATAAAATAAGGCATTTTTTTTATTTTTTTCACTATCTAATTGATCAGTGTTATTTAGAGTACCTTTATCTGTTATATCATAAAAATTATTTGATAATTTATTAAGGGTATCCATTACAATATCCTTATTGATAGGATAATTTGTTTTATCTACTATATCTTCATCTAATTCAATTAATGGAGGATTTTTATTTATATCTGAATAGGTTGAATCATAGACTAATTTACTTGTTAAAAATTTAACACTTTCACAATTCAAATAATTAGTGCAATTTAGTAATTTTGTGTTCTTAAATAATTTCACAAAATAAGAAAGATTTGTTTTATTAACATTATTAAGTGCATTAATAACAAATTGAATAATTCCCTTTTTCTTTTTTTTGTTTCCCTTATTGCTGTCATCATTCATATTCTTTAACATGTCTTCCTCACATCTTTGATAATACAATAATTTTTTACAAATTATCAAAAATATATTGTGCATTCTTGTTGATAAATAAGATGGTAAAACTACTGATTTATTTGCTAGTAATTCTCTAAACAACTTGAAAATTCTTAAATCTATAGAAGAACTCTCACGATTATAAATTATCTCTTCATTAATAGAAGCATCTTTTAAATAAAAATATTTATCGTGATTATTAGAGAATAGCAAAATAATTGGATATATTAAAATATGTGGAGTAAAATAGCATAATACTTCTAAGATAAAACATAAATGCTCTGTTAGCATTTTAAAAAGTATGTTAATAATTGATAAATTATAACCATATGAGGATGTAGCTTCTTCTAATATTTTACAATCATTAAATTTTTTCATTGTTTTACCTAAGTTTAAATAAATTTCGAAAAGTATTTTCAATATCTCATATGTTTCATTTAAGTGATCTAAATGATCGAACCCTAAGAAAATCCATTTATTTTCTTTTGTAGAATATTGATTCTCTTTTTTATCATTCATACTATCTGAATTTAATACATAGGTATTTATATTAGTTGTATTTTCATTACTATTTAATTTTTCTTTTATATCAAGATCTGTCATTATTCCTCTGTTGTTATTTGCTTTAACTTCTTCATCGTCTTTATTATTATTATTGCTATTCAAATTGTTGTCATGATTATCTTTATTTTCAATAATTAATTTTTCATTTTCATTACTTTCTTTAATTTTGTCCAAAATTTTTACTTCTACTAAGATTTTATTTATTTCATCCTCTAGTTTATTATTGTAGATGTTTTCTAATAATTTTTTTTTTTCATTACACATTTCATCATTAATTTTAGTTAAGGTTTTTTTCAAAACGCTTTTACTAACTTCTAATACAACAGTAAAATATTTAATAGAGCAAAATTCATTTCTTTGAATTCTTTTGCAGTATAAATTGTAATAATCTTGATTAAAAGTATCGTTTTGCCATATTTTAAATACTCCTTTAACAACAAATATTTTAATATATTGTATACATTTAGCATAATTTCTTTTCATAAAATAATATATACACACATAATAAGCAGCTTGTGAATTATAATTGTTACAATTTTTATTTTCTGAAATAAATTTTAAACCTTCAATTATGTCATTGATAACATCACTATATTTAATTTCTATATTTTTTATTATAACTTTTAATTTATTCAAATTATAATTAAATTTATTTATTTCATTTATATCTATCTCTTTTTCATGTGTATCATTGGTTACATTATATTTTTCAGATATATGCGTATCTTTTTCAATGATATAACAATCATTATTCTTAATACAATTTTCTTTTAAAAGTTTACATGAGTTTTGTTCGTTTTCATATAATTTTATATTATCAATTAACTCTTCATTTTTTAAATTATTCTGTGAATTACTTAAATCATATAAAACAGAACTATTCAAATTACAATTTTCATAATAGTCATTGTAATAATTTATGTATTTACTTACATTATTTTCCTTTTTCTTATTATTACATGGAACATTTTTAATATTACTTAAAGAACCATTTTCATTTGTACTTGGGTTTTTTTTTATAAAATTATTTGAAGTATTGTAATTTTCTTCTTTTATTTTTAAACTTTCTACAAAATTTTCCATATTTTTATAATTAATACTTTCTGTAACATCTACTAAATTTTTTAAATCAGGAGTATTTAAATTATCAAAATGTTCAATTTTATTAAACTCATCTACTATGGTATCACATTTTGTAACTTTGTAATCCTTTTCTACGTTTTGCGGATCCTTATCTACTTGATAAATATACTTAATATTTTCATTGAGAAATTTTTCTTCTTTTATATAATTTAAAAGATTATTTGATAACATTGTTTCATTTTTAAAATTAAATAAACAAGCAATAAAGAAATATCTAGGGTAATATAAGCATATTTTTAATCGTGTTACCAATAATTTATATAATGGGATAATAATTTTTATACTTTCTTTATCACTATTAATAATATCATTTGCCTTACTTCTAAAAATGTAATAACTATTTGTATTTAAAAAACTTGGATTTAAAGGAAATTTGTTTTTTTTTAAATCTTCATTTTTCTCTTCTATTATATTTTTTGCATTTATCATATTTTCTTCTAATGTTATATTTTTTATATTGTTAACATATTCTTCAATTTTATTTTTTTCCTCTTTTACCTTTTTGTTATCTCCTTTTATTCTTTCTTTTTCATTTTCATCTCTTTTTTCTACTGATGTTTTTTCTGATACATTCCTTATATTATCTTCTTTCTTTTTATTTAAACAAGTAACTTCATTAATTGAACAAATGTTTTGAAAATCTAAAAAATTAACACTTGAAAATATTAAACTGTCTGAATAATAGCACATTGAAATAAGCATAAAATATAACAATAACTTATCATATGAGTAAGAATTAGAATCTACTTTAGATAGTTTTTTTTCATTATTTAATTTTGTATTCGTTTTTTTTTTTATATTGTCTTCTTCACCATTATAAGATAACAAGGAATTAAAGAGAAAGTTAAATAATTTTCCCAAAAATAGAAATATTAAATAAATAGATTTATCATGTAATTTTAAACTTTCTAATGATTTTATAGAATACCCATGAACTTTATTTTTTAAGTAAAATTTTAAAATTCTTATATAATACTTTATTGAAATTTTTTTATTATTGTTTATTTTTTTATAAAACTTATTTTTTAGTATTTCTGATTGATCTAATGCATCTAATGGATTTATATCTACATCACTAAATTCTTCTGTTTTAATGTTTACTCTAATTTTTTTTTTATCATTTTCATTTTTATCATCTGAATTCTGATTTATAACTTTTAAATTATAATTTTTTAAGTTCTTTTCAATATCAAGTTCTATATTACTCTTATATTTTTCATTAATTTTTTTATTATTGTAATTATGAGAATGGTCAGCATTAGAATTTCTTGCTACTTCAGAGTTTTCTAAATTTGCTTCTACTTCAACTTTTACTCCTTTTATATGTGTTTCATCTTTTTTATCAACTTTTATTCCCTTTTCTTGTTCTAAATATTTATTTTCTTCTAGTACTTTTTTCTTTTTTGTTTTTACCTTACTGTTTTTTTCTTCTTCATATCTTAACCTTTTCGCATTAGCACCTTTATTTTTATTTTTTGAATTATTTTCATTTTCTGAAAATGTTGTTTCCTTTATATTTATGTTATTATTTTTTACATTTGTAAAATTTTGGATATTAACATCAATACTATTTTTTTTTGAATTTTCATTATTATAATTTTTCAAATTTTGTGAATCAATGAAACTTTTTTCACTGTTATTTTTGTTTTGATTATATAAGTGCTTTTTATTATTTAATCTTTTTTTATCCCTTTTACATTCTATATTTAAGAAGGATAATATATTACTATTGAATAAATCTTGTTTTAAATAAATGTTTTTTAAGTAGACACATAATTTTATGTTTTTCTTTATTGTTTTAAAATCATAAAAGAAATATTTATATCTTAATGAGTTTACAAAACAGTTACTTTTTTCTTCAAAAGAATAAAAAAGAGTATATTTAATGTAAGAAGATATATAAAAATTTAAATTATCAAATAGATGTTTTGCATTTAACAAACTAATTTTTGACCTTATAAAATTTGTTAGAATCTTAAAGAATAAAATTTGAATATATCTATTTTGTGAATTTGATAAAACTAAATAATAATTATTCATTTTTTTGTGTCCATCATTCGTAATTTTATTATTATCATTATCATTATTTAATGTATTTTTTAACGATGAATTAGAACCATAATTGATAAAAAAATTTTTTGTAAAAAAAACTTCCTTTGTAAAATTCATATATGCATTGTTTTCTTTGTTTTTATATTCTGATGTAAATATGCTGTTATTATATGATTCTTCATGTATACTAATAAAAAGGTCAATAAAGTAATTAAAATAATTGTCTTTTCCTTTATAATGGTAAAAAAAATATTTATAATATACATAAATCAAAAAATTAATTAGTATATCTGTATGTTTCAACGTATATTTTAGGTATAAAAATTTTAAAAAGTAGTACATTTTATAAAGATCAGTATTATATAAAGAATTATCAACTAATTTAGTTGTTATATTTAATAATAAATATTCAGAAAGAACTAATTCAGAAAAATATTTGTCTTCTAAAAATTTATATAAGTGAAAATACTGTTGAAAAATATAATAATATAAAAAAATATTTTTGCTATTATAAAATGATGCTTTTAATCCAATATTTAATTTATCAATAATTTTTAAAATATTAAAATTGTACTGTTTATTATAGTCATATTTAACTTCACTCATTATATGTATAAAAAAACTGTAAAATATATTGCTAAAATGATTGTAATGCTTTTCATTTATAACTTTCGTTAATTCTAAATAATCAATATTTTTTTTATTAATTATACTAAATAATTTACTTTTATAATATATGTGTATTTTTTTAAAATAATATGGATCATTATTTAATGTTATCGTAACGCTTTCGTTTTTATTTAATCGTTCTATTGTATTTTTTGAAATATTACTTGCATTTATATTTTTGTCATCATCGTTCTCATTTGTACTATGATCATTTATATTTTTATGTTTTCTTAAACTATTAAAAGTATCTTTATTTGTAAAATTTTTGTCTAATTTATTTAAAATTAAATTTCCCTCTGAATTAATATGTCCATTTTTTATAATATCAACATTACTTTCAATTTCATAATAATTATTGTAATTTAAACTTTTGTATATCTTCCTTTTAACTATTAACATTAAGCAGCTTTTATCAATATTCTCTTTAAGTTTGTTCTTCATATTCTTCTTTATTTTATATGGATTTAATTCATTTAACTCACCTATATAGCAATCGAAGTTTTCAATTTTAAAAGTTTTTTTTTTTTCTTCTAAATAAACATTTTTTATATACTCATAGAAACAAACATAATAATAATCATCATTTAAAAATAAATCTTTCATATAGTCTATAAAAATGTTATAAATTAATGGGTCTATAAAATTGGTAATGGTTTCATCATCTATCGAAATGAGCTTTTCAAAAATTTTTACAAAAGACATCATAAATTCCTATAAAAAAAATAAAATGAAATAAAAAGGAATGAAAATAATTTTATATTCCACAGATGGATATACATATGTATTTCAAATAATGCATTATAAAAAGATAAATATATTTCATTTATACAATAGTTGAGATATTCTATAAATAAAAAAAAAAAAAAAAAAAAATATGTATGTATATTTTTGTATTTTCTTTACTTTTCCTTCAGTTTTGGACTTTTTAAAATTTATTAAAAATTGTAAAACATTATAATCATTAAACTTGTAATAAATATTACGATATTTATAATTAAGATATATATAATCATTGTGTGAAATATTTATATGACTTTTTTTTGATATCCAGAAGAATTGGTTTAAATATGTATTATAATCAACTAGTTTCTTTATATCTAAACATATACTCTGCATATATTTATGAATATACAAGGATAAAAATAATTCAACTGATTTTATTTCATTCATTTTCATATTAAATATATCTAAGGTATATTTTGTTATTTTTATTTTTTTATCATCTGATTCATTTTCATTTTTGTCTTTTGGTATAATGTCAAAAGGATACACTGTTTTTAAAAATAAGAAATTATTAAATAAAAATGAAAAACAAATATTAATAAGACCATTAATAGAGTGATTATTGCGATATATTTTGTTTTGAATTTTAATATTTTTTATATCTGTATATGGCATAATCATATCAAAAATTATCTTACTAATTATTTTATTTTTTCTAAACTTTTTTTTTTTATTTTCAAAAGTATCATTTCTAGTTTGATTTATCATGATGTTACTATTATTAATGTAATTTATGCATTTATTATAAGACAAGTGTTGGTTATCAGCATACTCAATATTATCTATATCAATAACTTCTCTAATTTGATTTTTTTCTTTTTTATTCAAAATTGTGTCTATTCTAATTTTTTTTTTATTTTCATTTGCATCATTTCCTAATGAAATACAACTTTTAGACTTAACATCTGATAAAGAAACATGACTTAAACTACTAGTTATTATGTTATTTTTTTTTTTCTTATTTGTTTTTTTTCTTTTTTTGTATTTATTTAAGTAATATATTACACAAGGAAATATACAATTAAATGAAGATTTATTACTATTGTTTATATAAAGAATAGTCCTTTTAATATTATTTAAAATTAATTCATAATACAAATTTTTTTGATGATAAAGATTAATATTATATATATTTCTTTCTAAGTGAATCGATATATCTGTATTAAAAGAAGTTAACAAAATATTTAAAGAAAAATAAAACAAATTCATAGAGCATTTATTAATATTGTATAATTCGTTTTTATTTAAATCAAAATATATTAAATATTTATCTTGTAAAACAAATTTAAATAAAGCATGATTAATTAATGTTTGTTTCATTTGGGTAAAATCATCCATTATATTGTTATCTTTACATAATTTATTTAATTTTAAAAATATTTCATTCATTTGAAGTACATTACTTCTTTTACAATTATTAAATAAATCTACATAAAACATATTAATCTGCAATAAATTTTCTACTAAATTACAAAAAATATAGATATATTTATTTTTCTTTATTTTCCTTTTGGTATTATTTTTTTTCTTTGAAACTAGCAAAACATCAACTAAGCTAAAATTTAAAAGTGTTTGCAAATAAATTTCATACTTATTATTACATTTCCTATTTAATTCAACTTTATTGCCACATTTTATTAAGTTAGAGTTATTTTTTAATTTTGAGGTATTTGATTCAATTTCTAATTTATTTTTTGAGAAATTTAGAATGTTCTGATGATTTTTATCTTCACTTGCTGATATTACATATTTTTTATCTAAATTTTCTATTTCATTATTATTATATTCTATATTTTCTTTTATATTCTTTCTTTTAATGAAACATCCCTGCTTTGATTTTAAAAATGGATAAAAATGCAAGTGAGTTTTCAAAGGAGAAGATATTAATAATATGATACTACTTGAAATATGCAAAAATATATAGTAAGTGTTATATATATCATTAATCATGAAAAAATCTTGACTTTTTCGTAAATGTAAAATATTATAATTTTCTATATATAAAATGGATATAAGAATAAACAAAATATGTGAAAATAACGGATAAAGAGATGTATAAATTTTATGATCACTTTTGTTTATTATAGATATATATTTAAAAAAAGAAGTATTGTCTACTGTTTTTTTCAATTTCCTTTTTATTTTCTTTAATTTTTTATAACTGTTCAATATACTTTTATATTTATTTTTATATTTATACAAATTTTTTTCTATAATGTTCTCCTTTTTTTTGTAGTTATCTTTTCTAATTTTATATCTATTATTTCTTTCTATATATCTAAAACGTCTTCTTGTGTAACTTAAATTTGTGCTATTTTTGTTCAGTTTACTACTTTTTTTTAAAGAACATAATTTTTTTTTTCTTATATTTTTGTTGCCCACTTTTTTACTAATTTTATAACTTTCATTACGAGCTAAATAATATAACTTTCTATTGCTTCTTTTTAATTGTGAATATTTCTTAATATTAATTTTTTTTTGTTGTTTGTTTCTTTTTTCTTTTACCCTTTTTTTGTCTTTCACGAAATAACTATAACATTTGTTTATTTTTTTTCCTAGTTTTCTTTCTAAAAGATTATTTTTTATTTTGAATTGTCCATTTATTCCTACTTTTCTTTTTATCTCTTTTATTATTTTATATATTTTTTCCTTTTTTAAATAAATACAATTTATTGTGCTTTTCTTCCTTTTTATTAACTGTTCAGTATCTTTTTTTTTTTTAATATATTTTTGTATTTCATGACTTATATTTTCCACTTTTTTTTGAGTATTCTGTTTATTGCCTTTTGTTTTTTTTTGAACTCCTATGAATTTTTTATCTATTTTTATGTTTACATTTATTTTTACTATAAAATTCATAAGAACATGAAAAGAAGTAAAAACATGATTTAAAAAATCGTATGAACAGCCATATCTAAAATTTATAAAATTAAAAAAATTAAGCATATTTGAATTAATTTTATCATCATAAGAAAATATATCTTTGTTTTGAGAAAGTACTTTATATAATTTATTTGTATGGAACTCTGAGAAAGAATTCAAACGTAAATAAAATATAGAAAAAATCATGTTATAAATATTCATTACTTTTCTAATCAAAATGAAATATGCTTTTTTTTTATTTTTCATGATGAAATTCATACAATCATTAATAAATTGAATAATTATATTTTGTAATTCATAATTCAAAGTTAAAATGCATAATCTTGTGTCAAATAAAGAGTGAAGTGAATCAATATTTAAAGTAAAATTTTTGTCTAATGCTTTTGCTTTTTCATATAAGCATAATATACTATTTTTTTTTATTTCCTTACAAATGCAATTCTTTACATATTTATAAGAGTATGTTAGAATAATAAACTGTTTTTTTTTTTTACTTAATTTTTTTTTTTCATATTTTTTTTTAACTCGTCTAGTAAAAGATACCAGGATACTCATTAAATCATTTTTTTTTGTAATATTCCTGTTAAACATGTTGCTGATATTATATGCATTCATTTTTGAAATATAATCTTGCTTATGTGTGTATATTTTCTTAACATATTTGTCTTCTTTTAATATCTTAAAAAAATGTGGCTTTGAAAAAATATTTTCATTATATAAATTACAGTTTAATTCATTTAATGTGAAATTATAAACTTTGTAAATGGGTAACTTTTTTACTTTTACCATACTATAAAGGCTATTGCAATAGTAAACAATTTTTTTGATCTTCTTCATAATGTTTTTTTTAAAAAACTTATTTTCATATAATTTTAAATTTAATATAAAAAAACATTTGTTATAACATTTTAAAAAAGATGAAAAAGCAAGATCTATGTTTTCATTTAATTTTTTGAATTTTTTTTTAATTTTTCCGACAAGCTTAAAAGGAATATTATTATTTATTAAATTATTATGTTTCAAAGAGTGTTTTTTTTCTTTTTTCTTATTTTCTTTATTATCCTCTTCTTTTCCTTCTTCATTTCTTTCTTCTACTTCATTCTTTTCTTTTTCGTTTTCTTCTTCTTCCTCTTCTTCTTCTTCATTTTCTTCTTCTTCTTCATTTTCTTCTTCTTCCTCTTCTTCTTCTTCATTTTCTTCCTCTTCTTCTTCCTCTTCTTCTTCTCCATCTTCCTCAGCGTCTTCTTCCTCTTCTTCTCCCTCATTTTCCTCTTCTTCTTCTTCTTCTTCTTCTTCTTCTTCCTCTTCCTCTTCTTCTTCTTCTTCTTCTTCTCCTTCATTTCCCTCTTCCTCTTCTTCTTCTTTTTCTACTTCTTCATTTTCCTCTTCTTCTTCTCCTTCCTCTTTTTCTCCTTCCTCTTCTTCTTCTTCTTGTTCTTCCTCTTCTTCCTCCTCTTCTTCTCCATCTTCCTCTTTTTTTTTTTCTTCTTTTTCCTCTTCTTCTTCTTCTTCTCTTTCTTCCTCTTCTTCCTCTTTTTCTACTTCTCTTTCTTCTTCTTCTTCGTCTTCCTCTTCATCTTCCTCTTCTTCTTCCTCTTCCTCTTCCTCTTCCTCTTCTTCATCTTTTTCTTTTTCTACTCCTTCTTCATTTTCCTCTTCTTCTCCTTCCTCTTTTTCTTCCTCTTCTTCTTCTCCTTCATTTCCCTCTTCTTCTTCTCCTTCATTTCCCTCTTCCTCTTCTTCTTCTTTTTCTCCTTCTTCATTTTCTTCCTCTTCTTCTCCTTCCTCTTTTTCTTCATTTTCTTCCTCTTCTTCTCCTTCATTTTCCTCTTCTTCTTCTTCCTCCTCTTCTTCTTCTCCTTCTGCATTTTCCTCTTCTTCTACTTCTTCATTTTCCTCCTCTTCTTCTTCTTCACTTCCCTCCTCTTCTTCTTCTTCACTTCCCTCCTCTTCTTCTTCATTTTCCTCCTCTTCTTCTTCTTCTTCTTCTTCTTCTTCTTCTTCCTCTTCTTCTTCTTCTTCCTCTTCTTCTTCTTCTCCTTCTTCCTCTTCTTCCTCTTTTTCTACTTCTCTTTCTTCTTCTTCTTCGTCTTCCTCTTCTTCCTCTTCCTCTTCTTCTTCTTCCTCTTCTTCTTCTTCCTCTTCTTCTTCTTCTTCTTCTTCTTCTCCATCTTCCTCTTCTTCTTCTTCTTCTCCATCTTCCTCTTCTTCTTCTTCTTCTTCTTCTTCTTCCTCTTCTACTTCATGATTATCGACATTTTCTTTTATTTTATTTCTTTCATTTTTTTTTTCTTCTTTCTCTTCAACTTTTTCTCTTATTCTTACTTCTTTTTCATTTTCCTCATATCCTTCTACTTCTTTTTTTTCATATTTTCTTATTTCTGCTTCAGCTTCTATTTCTTCTTCATCTATTACTTCTTGATTCTCATTTTCTTTCTTTTCATTTTCATCATATTTTTCATTATGCTCTCTATTTTCATCATTCAATTCATATTCTTTTCTTTCAGAATATTTTTCTTCGTTTTCTTTTTTTTTCTCTTCTTCATCCACTTTTCCTTCGTTTTTCTCTTGTTCTTTTAAAGTATCCTTTTGAGTAAATTTTTCATATAAATTATTATATACCTTTTCTTCAATGTTTGTTTCTCGAATTTTAGCATTTTCTTTTTTAATTAAATAATTTATATCATATGTATCCATGAAAAATTTTATATTTTTAAAATAATATTTTGAATTTATATACAAGAATTCTAAAAATAAAAATATAATGCGTCTCCTTATCTTGCCATTTTGTTGATCATAACTATATTTTATTAATAAAAAATTTAAAATAGCGAATGTACAATTAATCATTTTTTCTAAGTTTATATTATCAAAAGTATGTTTTTTTTTTAACTTGTTTAAATAGCACTTGTATAATAATTTTAGCATATATAAATGAAAATGTATCAAATCTTCATAATTATCAAACTCTAAATTGGAGTCTATAGATATATCGTTTTTTTCATTTCTAATTTTTTCTGAATCATTTTCAATATTATGATAAAATATATTTAATGATTTACATTTATAATCATACATATAAAGATTATATAATCTTAAAAAAGATAAGTAACAGTGTACATTTTTCTTATTTATAATATTATTATTGGTAAAAAAAAAGAAAATTTTCAATAATGTATTTTTTATATTATTTTCCTTATCACAATAATGATAAAATAAAATTAAAATAATTTCTTCTATTTTATCTTTAATGCAATTATTTTCATTCATAGAGTTAAGACAATCAAAAAGAGTTTCTATATCAAAAAATTCTTTTTCGCTTTTTTTTATTTCTGCAAAAATTTTTTCTTTTTCATAATTATAACTATGAAATAATATGTTCTTCTTTTTTAGTTTCAATTCACAACTCATTTCATTACTTGACATATTTCTATCATTTATAAAGTTCTTGTTTTGTTCTTTTTTCTCCATATTATCTTTTTCTTTTTCTTCCATTTCATTGAATTTTTCTTTATTTTCCATTTGGTTACTTTCTCTATTTTCCATTCTCTTTATATTTTCTGAATTGAGACTACCATCTAAAATGATATTATTTATGTTATGATATTTATCATTTCCTAAATTTTCATATGTGTTGTTTAATGTTTTCCTTTTATTATTCATACATATCTCGGAATCGTTGCTATATGCAATAATAGTAGGATTAATTTTTGTATCATTATTAACCAAATTATTTTCATTTGATTTTATTATTTTTCTTCTTTTCCTTAAATTAAAAAAGGTAAATTCTTCATATTTATCGAAATTAGCTTCAATATCATTACTTGGTACATTTTTTATTATGTTTTTAAAAAGGATATTTGAATTAGATTCGGTATGTCTAGTATAATATTTTCTATACGAATATTTTATTTTCTTAATTTTTTTTTTTAAATCGTCTTTTTCTTGTACTTGTTTAAGTAACAATATATCAATAATAAAGTGAGATATATTAAAAAAATTACTACTATTAATAGAATCAAATTTATCAATGGCATACATACTTTCATATAAATGATAAATATGTTTTATATTCTTATTTTTTTTAATGCTTTTTAGAACAATGGAATAGTTATTCATTAAAAATAATTTATCCATATCATCTATAATCTTATCGCCAACATTTGGTAGTAAGTAGTTGTTATGAGAACTTAACTTTTTTACTTTATCTCTTATTCTTTTTTTATTTATTTTATTAATATTTAAAATAATTGTTTCTTCTATTTCCCTTTTTTCTTCATAATACTTCTCATTACATTTGTTATATATTAAACCATTCTGTTTTATGCTATTTCTTATATCACTATATATTTCTATAATATTATTATAATTAGTTTCATTTTTATGCCTTTTATTCTTTATTTCTTTATTTTTTTCAATTTTTTCCTCTTCAGTTTTATTTCCTTCTTTGCTTTCTTTATTATCCATTTCATTATTTTCTTTATATCTTTTTTCTATAGAAGACAAACTATATATCTCTTCAAATTTTTTTTTTTCTAATTCTTTAATATTTATATTTTCGTTAGTATGTTTATCTTTGTATGTAATTTCTTCAACAATTTTATTTTTATTTTCTTCATTTTCATTTTTCCGAGAGTATCCTTTTATATTAACTACTTTACAATGACTTTCATCTGGTACCATACTATTATGTGAAAAATTGTTAACAAATTTTATCAAAGTGTTGAACTTTTTATATTTACATATCTTATATATAGTATTAAAGAAATCGAGTATTTTTTTATTTTTTAATACTTCTTTCATTTCCTTTTTTTTTTTTTTTAAATCGTATATGTAATAATATTCTTTTAATAAATTAAATTCATATTCTTTATATATTTTTTTTATCTTATTGATTGAATATGATGCATTATCATTTCCATGTATATTATCATTTAATAATTTCATTCTTTGTGTTTTTATTTTCTTCTTTTTTTTTTTTACATTTTCTAATAAGAAATCGTCTAATTTATTAATTAAACTATCACTTATATCTTCTGAGTAGTTTTCTAAAATATAGTTTTCATTTTGTGAAGAATTGTAATTATTTAGAAATTCATTACTATTATAATGAACAGCAGAAACAATACTTTGACATGTAATTTTTCTCTTTTTTTTAAATTGTATATTTTCATTTAATTTATTTTTATTAAAAAAATTGCATTCAGTAGAACTATAAATATTAATCAAATCATTTTCATTATTTTTTCCATCATTTTTTCCATCATTTTTTCCATCATTTTTTCCATCATTTTCTTCATCATTTTTTCCATCATTTTTTTCATCATTTTTTGATAAACTTTTCATATCACCTTTATCATCAGAAACTTTTTTTTTCATAAAAAAATTATCAAAATTACTAGGATTATTTTCTTCCAATTTCTTTTTCATTAAATTATCTTCAGTTGAAATATCATTATTGTAAATTTGTTCTTTCCTGTTATTTACATTGTTTATATCATTAATATTATTTTTTTTTCTTTCTCTTTGTAATAAATATTTCTTCTTTGCTGAAAGGTCTTTTTTATCAAAACTGCTATCATATATTTGAATGTTATCTAAGTAATTTGAGTCAAAATTTATATTGTCTTCTATATTCTTCCTATGTGTTTTTTCTTTTAAATCTTCTTCAATATTGCTAATACTCTTTAAGTAAGTAGATTCTGTATTTGATTCTTCTTTTCTTATTTCTATGCTTGATAAATTCAAATAATTTTTCAGAAAAATACTTTCATGGGAGCTATTTTCAAAATCTACGTTTTCTGTATTCACAGAATTTTGTTTTATGTCCGTTAGAAAATTGTTCCTTAATATTTTCACTGTACTTTCATAAATTGTTGGATTGAAATATTCACTTTCCTTATCATTATATAACAAACAACACATAAAAGAAGTTTTAGCATTTAAAAAATATTCTATATCATTACTTTCTAAAAAATATTTTATAAATGCTATTCCCGCATTATAGCATATTTCTATTTTATATTTTTCATTAACTTTATTTAAATATTTAGATAATAAAATGTATGTAAACGAACTATACTTATAATTTTCAAAATAAAAATATGCATTTCCTATAGTCTTCAAAAATTCAATTTTACCAATAAAGTCTTTCTTTTTTAATTTTTCTAAATTTTCTAACCCATATCTTAAGCATTCTTCTAATTTTAATTCTTTATATAAATTTTGTAATTTTATAACATATTTATTCATGCTTTTTTTCTCCTTTTCTTTTGATACGTTTATCTTTTCCCCATCTATTATTGTAAAATCATCTTTGTATATATAATTTAATTCATTATTGTTAAAGAATATTGTAGATTTTTTTCTTTTCTTATTCTTATTTATAAGCCTTTTCAATCTTTTTTTTTTTAACTTCTTTTGAATAACTCCTTTTGGAATCATTTTTACTTATATATTTGATAACATAAAAGAATAAAAAATAATAGTAAATTTCAAAAAAAAAAAAAATCATATATAAGTATACAAATATTTAAATGTATTTAATATATTAAATAATTTGTACACATATATTTAAAAAAAAAAAAAAAAATTATCTGCAATTTACTAAATTGCTTATAACAATGATTACATAAAATTACACTATTCTATTATGGTATTTTATCTTTTATTTTTTTTTTTTTCTTAATATCACATAAATGCAATTTTATATCTAATATTTTTTGTTTTCCTTATACGATAATTCAGAAATATATACATATGTTAAAAATAAATATCTATATTATTTTAGAGCAAAAATAAAAAATAGAAGAATTTAATAATAAAGAACAAAAAAAAAATTATCCATCAAAAAATAAAAAATAGTGAAATTAAAAGATATAAAAAAAATACATTTATAAAAATGGTGTAATAATAAAAAAAAAAAAAAAAAAAAAAAAAAAAAATAAAAAAAAAAAAAAAAAAAAAAAAAAAAAATAAAAAAAAAAAAAAAAAAAAAAAAAAAAAATAAAAAAAAAAAAAAAAAAAAAAAAAAAAAATAAAAAAAAAAAAAAAAAAAAAAAAAAAAAATAAAAAAAAAAAAAAAAAAAAAAAAAAAAAATAAAAAAAAAAAAAAAAAAAAAAAAAAAAAATAAAAAAAAAAAAAAAAAAAAAAAAAAAAAATAAAAAAAAAAAAAAAAAAAAAAAAAAAAAATAAAAAAAAAAAAAAAAAAAAAAAAAAAAAATAAAAAAAAAAAAAAAAAAAAAAAAAAAAAATAAAAAAAAAAAAAAAAAAAAAAAAAAAAAATAAAAAAAAAAAAAAAAAAAAAAAAAAAAAATAAAAAAAAAAAAAAAAAAAAAAAAAAAAAATA